CTGCAGTTCCCTACCGCAGGACCTCACCAACCTTTCATCCTTAGAGACAGCCAGTATCTCCAACCCCCACCCCACCCCCAAGTCAGAAGTAGGGCTTCCCCTTCAGAGGGTCCCAGGCGTTCCCCCAACAGAATTCAGGTCCCACCTTAATACACAAGCTGCCTCCAGTCTGCCTCTTGCCTGGCCTGGGAACCCCTCTGAGGCAGAGTCCCTCCAGGAGACCTTACCACCCCCTGTCTGGCTCTGCAGCTTGGGCTCAGGCATCCCAGAGGAAAGCCCACCTGCCAAATGAGTGCAGCTCATGGCCAGATGCCTTGGCGCACAGCCCCCTATCTGCACCCTTGTGGAGTAACCCTGTTTCTCCAATGCCCATCTTCCCATGAGCAGGCTGCAAAGGCCCACGGTTCACGCCTATCCAAAGTCCTGCTTGGGCTTCTCTTACCCAAGAATATCTGAGGTATCAAGTGCTGATGGTAGTTCACAGGAATTCCAGCCCTGGGAGGCTGAGGCAGGGGAATTAGGAATTCAGTCTGCACTACATAGTCAGACCGGGCTCCAAAGACCAAACAAACAAAAAAACAGATGCTACGTTCTAACCCAGACTTAATAAAAACAGAGGACGTGGAACGCAAGGTCTTGAAATTCACAATTTTGAAATGATACTGAAATTTCAGCAGTGGAGCCAGCTTCCAGGCTCCAAGGTCAAGCCTGGTCCATTAGTGGGTACCTGTTAACAGAACCATGCTAGATGAATAAGGTTGGGGCACAGGACTGCTTGTGTACACAGCCTCCAGGCATGTCTCACTGTGTGTCTTTCGGTAAGGTGCTCAGCCTCTCACATCCTGTTTCTCCACTAGCAAAGTGGGCTAAATACAGGGATATCTGCCCTCCTAAGGTCATGGCAAGGGTCATCTACAATAACACACAGTCAGCCAAACTTTATCAGCCAGTCCCATCAATTCCAAAAAGAAGCCAGGCTTTGCGTGAAGCTACCAGGAGCTTCTCTCTGCCATAGAATAAAGCCCAAACCTTCCTGTGCATTCGGGGTTCTGCCTCCCCCTCCCCTCCTT